GGGAGCGCGTCAAAATTGGAGAGCCGGTCAAAGTTAGCTTCTTCCGGCAGGTGGCTCCTGGTGCAACGTTGATGTACGAGGATATTCTGTACGCTTGTGATGAAGACGTTTGTCCGGAATATACGAAGGATCCACGTATGTGCACCTGCTACAGAGCCCCCTTAGCTTTACATGCTGAACCCCGTCTCCATTCTGGGATGTTTAATATTTACTAAAATTACTCTTTCTGAATAGGAATCAAAGAGGTCGTTACTCTTACTTCCGATCTTTCCAGAAAGAACCTTGAGAAAGATTTTGAGCGGATGGACACCCCACAAGGAACATTTTACCGTGTCTACTTCGATATTTATCTCACCCTGGATGGAAGCGAGTTCAACGCCGAACTTGTCTGTCAGGGTGAGGTCATGGGACGCTGTTCAGCAAGGTTCAGATAAATGCCACACTGTTAATATTACTGTGGTTGAAACATGATTCCCGGAAATTCGCCTCCGATCTAGTGCGTAACAATAACAAATACTAAAATACCAAGAACATCTTACGAAGTGACGATGAATATTTCCTTAACACCCTCAACTCTTGTCCTCGAACGGCATCCGGTTTCCTAGCTACCTTCCGCTAGTCTTTCTCCATTTGACATCTAAACACCCAAATGCGGAGGACATGAATTCCATTCCATCTAACTTCGGATTTTTTTTAAAGGTTGCCACTACCTAATTGGTTTGTCCGCCAGTCTCCCCAAAGGATTGAGCTGATCCCTTGGAAACAATTTTCCCCCTTCGTGATCTGCAAAATTTCTTATCGCATTCTATATTTTAACCTTTGATATTCTATCTTTCTATATTCCCCCCTTCCCTTTTCGAGGTAGCGAACTCGTCTAGCTATCATTATACCTCTTTTTGTTATATTCGCCGTTTGTGCTATTTTTGATCCAGCCCTTTACTCCTCCCTTCTTGAAGTTGATCTTATTTGTTGATCGATGAGGAGCTAGCAATTGTGTTAAGAAACATCTTTTTCTGCCAATTTTCCATGTTAGCATGCTTTCAATATTCTTTGATGATAATTTCTTCTTGACAACGTCAGCCATTTGTGTTGTTCCCATTTCTTTTCTCCGGCTTTGCTTTTTACTTCTTTCCCCCCCTTTCCCTGTCTCTACTTTTTTTTTTTTTTTTTTTTTTTTTGGATTGTCTTTACTTGCTTCTCTGTTTGGCATGCCTCTATATACTTCACTTTTCCATAGGGATAATAAATAGACTCGACTCAATTACAACATTTGCTCCATCCACCATTTAAATATCCCGTCTTTGGTGATAGAAAACATCGCCAGCAGGGGCTGCCTGCGTTAGACTCATCCCCTTACTACTTTTTGGCTGTTTTTATTCCGGCCCAGATGTCTTGCTGACGCGCTGTTACTCATTATCACCTCCATTTCGTTTATTCACACGGCCTTTGTTTCTAGGAGAATATTTCAGATACTTTTATATACAAAGAAGCTGTTTCTCCACCGTTCCAAGATACACATGGGTATCCCAGAAATTGCCCAGGTGCGCGGTAATGATAGTCGTTTTTATTTTCCCTGGTTTCTGCCCAGCTTATCACGTCCTATATAACATGACGATCGCTCTTCTGACCGCCAGGCTTAATTTGAGTATTAGGCAAGTACATACCAACTCTCGTCAGCCCCGTGTCGCCCGGCCCGGCCTTCATATGATGTGACTTAGGAGGACACGCACTGATGATCAGGACATACAGTTCCATCGATGAAAAGAGACGACATCGCCAGTTTCCTTTGTTTTTGTTTTTTGTTCTTGTCATGTTTCTATGGCCATCTTATCCCGAGAGACTTGTTCGTCATTATCAAATGGGTATAATGATTCCATGAAGTTAGGGTGAAGCAGCGGTTGTCGTCACGTCACGCTTCAACTTTGGAGTGTTTTGTTTTTCGTTGAGGCGATGTCAACATGCGCCCCGATGAACAGATGGTTAACTGGTCGACTTCCCCGTTCCTATGCGGCTATAGTAATGAAGATTCAAGTCTCCTTGAGAACAACGGGGGAAGGTGGCGGGCTCTCTGGAGCATCCAGTTTAGGATAAAGAAAGAAAAAGGAATCTGACAGGTATCCAGATATGTGGCAACAATCGTGCCCT